ATTAATTTAAAACTCTTCTCACACCTCCATTCATGTTTCAAACCTGCATATTACATAAATATATATTTTTAATACTTTAAATCAATGACATGATGCGAAAGAAACTGTTAAAGATTTTATTATTTATTATTATTATTTTGATATAAAAAATCATTTCTCTTGAAGCCATGGAGGCCCGTGAGCCTGCCCAACCAATTTAGTTGGCGGACCTCGCTTTCAAATTATAAATAAAATCCGGGCTTAAGCCCGGCTTGAGCCTGTTTTGACTAGTCAAGATCCGAATAAGCCCGACCCATGCCAAACCTTACCTGGCCTACGTCCATGTCTTCCTCCCCCACTGTCCGTATGATGTTTTTGTGATTCGTGCTGTTTTGACTAGTCAAGACCCGAATAAGCCAGCCCCATGCCAAACCTTACCCGGCCAACGTCCATTTCTACCTCCTAACTGTCCATGATGTATAGGTTTGAACAATGTAGGTTGTATAAAAGTAAAAATAAAATAAAATTTGTGTCTCAGATGTATTCTCGGAAATAGGTGGCATATTTGTAAATATCCGTTGTTATTTTTGTGTTTATATTCATTTTGAGCAGTATATTATATATTAAAAGAGATTTAAATGCTTGCTAAGGGATAAGCAGCTAGAGCCTATCAGAAATCCAGATTAGCCGAATTCAGAATATATTTTGGAAGGCATAAATAAATGAGTTTCGACGGGGCTTAATGCCTTTTTTTTTTCCTGAAGATTTTTTGTTTTTGATTAGAGATGACATATTTGCTGGAAAAATATTATATCTGTACTATGCACGTAGAATAACGTGCATAGTCAATAAAATCATGCCACAACCTCACACGCGACAGAAAAAAAAAAACGCAGTAACACGGAGAATATTCCCCTGTTATTCATGTATTATTGTGTGTTATTCACGTGTTATTATGTCATGAGAATATTCTTGATGTTATAATAACACAATAACACATCAATAACAAATGAATAATACACAATAACACATGAATAGCATGGGAGAATATTCCCCCATCTTACTGTATAATTTTTTTCTCTGTCGGGAATATTCCCTTGTGTTATTCTGATATTATTGTGTTATTCATGTATTATTGTATCGTGAAAATATTCTTGATATTATAATAACACAATAACACACATGAATAACACAACAACACATGAATAACACGGGAGGAATATTTCTCGTGTTGCTACGCCATTTTTTTTTCCTATCGTATGAGGTGTCGTGGCGTGATTTCATTGACTACACACGTTACTCTAAGTGCGTTAATATTTTTTCATATTTGCCATTGAATTTGAACTATATAATAATGCTAATAATAATATCAATGGCTATGTTTTTGGTTTATTTTTTTCTTTTTTTTTGCTCAATAATATTCCCGAAGCCCAACAGATTAACATTATTTCTACTCCAAACGCTAAATAGAAAATTCCAGAAGCACGCCACTCATGACATTCCAGCGTCATTTTTTCACAGTCGAGATTGGGCTCGTTCTTCTTCCATGAAAGGATAGTCCGTAAACCCAACCACTGGATCCTGCGTGTAGAAAGTCGATCTTACATACCGGTTCAGACCGGCATTCAGCCTAAACCGCTTCGGCAGATCCGGGTTAGAGATAAAGAGCCGGCCATAAGACACCAGGTCTGCGGCACCGCCGCCCACAGCCCCCTCACCCA